CTTGTGCATTAATATATTTACCCAGGCCTTATGGAAAATGTATGGGGATAGTAACAGAAATACTGTATCCTTGTTTAAATCACATTACATTTTTTAAACAGCTCGAGTGATTGCTTAGAAAGATCACACCTTCTTCTGAAGCATTTATTAAACAATTATTTACATTACATTAAAAACTTTAATTGCCTTGAAGCACGTGTTCCAAGACACAGATATTGGAAAATCATCAAAAATATCCATCACGATTCTTTCTTCTTTACAACTCTTCTAAACTTTATCTTTTTTATAACCCTCTGTATTGATCTATTGTCCCAGACCAAGAGTGATGTCAGAAGTCCAAGCTGGGTCATAAAAAGAGAATATAATTTCCATTTGCTGTCTATAAAAGCAAATCTTTTGCTTTTATAGAAAAAGGAGGGGAAGGTCTCCTTTTTTGGGGGAGGTGGGGCAGAGGCTAGGGTAGGATTAGTAGGGGGACATGTCAGAAAGGGTGACTGCTGGGTCAGGAGAAGTGCTAGTTATGAAGGGGGTTGGGAGATCGGAGTTCCTCCTGGGTGGTGGGTGTAGGACCTTGGGAGGAGCCTGGGGACTTCTCCCTTGCAGAGGCAAGTTGATGGAAAAAATGTAAAAGAAATCTAGACATCCCTGCTGTCCAGCGTCGGAGAAATTGCAGAAGACCAGAATTTCCCACCAGCTGGGCGAAAGACTCTCTCCCAAAAGACATAATAAAGGAGGCCCATACTGGGAAGGAACCTGGGGTCCTCAGCTAGGCTAAGGACCCCGGAAAAATGATTGTAACAGTGGCAGAGACGTCTGTAGCTGTTAATTATCCAGAGCTAAGCTAGGCCCCCCTCAACATATAACGGTAAAAGCGAACCCACTGTGGGGAAGAAACCGTTCCAGAGGTTTTGCTAAGAACCCTCTCCAGTAATGGGAACAGTAAAACGACCTCCCATTCTAAAGTTGTCAAGAGCCCATGTTAACTGGACTAAAGGCTCCTGAAAATAGTAATAAGAATCTCTATTGCAGAGGACCCCCGGAAAGAACCCAGTGCTATGGCCAAGACACCGCCTCCCAATAATATAACTCTATAATGGCGTGGACCCTGCGCACGGCAGTGGTGACATTTCCGACAACTCAGTGGCGCCCCCGGGCGGCTGCCACCCGCCCACTGGCCGGCTCCCAACAACCCGCCCGCAGGGTAGTCTACGCAGCTCTAGCTGGCGGCTGCTACCCTCAGATGCGAAGCTTAGCTGGCTGGCGAAGGAGCGGCGGCAGCCCGAGGCACGTGTTGTGTGCTCCGATTGCAAAAAAAAAAAAAAAAACCGTGCACTAAAAAAATACACCTAAGGTTATGGTATTAGGAGGTGCTATCTTCCAGAGAGAGTTTATAAACTCATAACCAAAAAAAAAAAAAAAAAAAAAAAATGCATTGCAAACTATTAACTTTTTTTTTTAAGTATGCATTGCTTGGGGGGCGCCCGAGGGGCCCCGGGCGGTGGCGCGCAGGGCCCGGACTGCCGCCGGCGGCCCCGGGGCTGGGGGGAGTCCAGCCCGGATATTGAGTGCAGCCATTGAGAAAAGCCAAACTCTTGTGTGTGTGCGTCTCGAATAGCCCCCAAGATGGCCGCCAATGTGGGATCGATGTTTCAATATTGGAAGCGATTTGATCTACGGCGACTCCAGGTTAGTGCGGGCAGCACCGGCCGCGCGGCCGTGGGGAGCCCTCGGGCGCGCCCTGGGCGCACTGGGGAGGTCCCCGGGAGGGCGGTCGGGCGCCCTGGGGAGGCGGGCGGCGGCTGCTGGGGCTCGCCGGGGCTCGACTGCCCGCTGCCTATCGATAGGTATTAGGAATTGATCTCGCCGCTGCTCTTTGTTCGGTTCAATCATCGATTAGCCGCTGCGACCGTGGAGAAGCGCTAGTGAGCCCATGGCCCGGGGAGCGAGCCGGCGGGTGAGCGGCGGAGTGAGGCGCGAGGAAGGCAGGGTCTGCGGTCCCAGGCAGGGGGCTGCCGACGGGACCCCGGGCAACCCCCCTTGCGCCGCACTTTGCGCGCCTCCCAACTTCGCGGCGCCCGGGGAGGCCACGAAGCGCGCCGCGTGCCTGTCCGCGCCCGGCTGGGGCTCGGGCGAGGGAGGGAGGGAGCTGGCGGTGGCAGACCTCTCCTCGGGCCGGGTTCTCGGGGTTCGTTTTTGCCTCTTGCTTTATCGCCCTTGCCAACCTCTTTCCAAGTCTAGGTGGGGACGGGCGGTGGAGATGGGCCCGGGGCGCGCGCAAGTTTGCGCTCCTGCCTCAGGGGCCTTGGAGAGCCGGGAGCTGCGCAGAGCAGGTGACTTCGGGCTCTCGGGCCCACTGGAACTTTTAAATGGGAGATTCCCTCGCTGTTTTCTGCCTCCTGCTTTTCCTCTCCGCCACTCCTCTCTTTTCTCCTCTCTCTAGTCTTTTCTTTCTCTTTTCCCTCTCCCTCCCTGGGGCGACTCCCTTCCAAACTCCAGCACTTTATCCCCGTTCCACCTTTTTTCTGGGAGTCTGTGTGTCTCCTCCAGATTTGGGGGTTATTCTTTGCTGACCCAATAGGAGACTGGGCCGCGGGGTGGAATCTCACAGAGAGCTGTGCGCAGGAGGCACAACACTAGCCTCGGTCCTTTGCCAGGTGCCCCAGGATGCTCCTGACAAGCCCCCAAACCCAGGAATCTCACCGAGGTGCGGTGGGAACAAGGGGCGGGGAAGTGGTGCTGGTTACCGGGCGATGAAAGCATCCTGCCTTGGCCTTGACATTCTTGGAAGAAGGGAGAGCATCAGTCTGGAGATAAAAAGGGACACCCCCCCCCCTTTTTTTTAATCCGCCTGCAAATCTCGTTAAGTTTCTTCTGATAAGTGGTTCCAGTGCCCCCCTCCTCCTGGTGGCTTCCCAACCCCCCTCCTTTCTAACCCCTCACTCCCCGCAGGCCCCCTCCTTCAAAGCCAGTGAGCTGGAGAGAAAATCGGGGCACTCAGGCATGCAGTTAATAACTGCAAGTGCCTTGCAATTCCAGGTCCTCACTCGAGTTGGGGCTACAGTTTGGTGGCCATCTGAGGCGGGCAGGGCTGTGAGCTGTGGTTGCTGTTTTAAATGATGCTAAAGTGGCCTTTCTGGAAGAGTGGGGGATGGGGGAGAGAGAGAGAGAGAATGGGAGAGAGAGAGTTGGGCAGCCACATTGGGCTTGGCACGAAGGCCAATGGTAATCGTATTCCCTGCTAATGTTTGTAAATGAGACCCGGGCACGGCTGGGGGACAGCGTCTTTATTTATGATTGATGTTCTGTAACATAAGGAATGACAAGAACGTGGCAGACAAGAGGAGAGGAACCAGAAGGGCTGGCGAAAGCCCTTTGCAGGGTCCTATTGTTATTCTGGGCTGGAGAAAATTTCCGCGGCGAGATTTACAGCGCTGGTATTTGCTCCTGGTCGACCGGAATGTCAGTTAACACAATTTTCATTAGATAACTCGTTTTCAATCCGGGGAGCTTGGGCTGCAACTGGGAGGTGGAGTGAGACCTGGGCTGGGTGCTGAGGGGTGGGTGCGGCTCCCAGGGGGCTGATTTCTGAGCTGGAGTGGAGGGGGTGTTGAACCTCAAGTCTCTCCTGTCTCAGGCTCAGGGGTCTTTTGTGGAGCTGTTGAGGTCACCCAGATCTTGATTCCAGTTGGACTCCCATTGATCTGGGAACCCTTTGTTAGGGTTTTAGAAGATGCTGAGGTGAAAAAGCAAATTTGAACTGGAAAGGATGAAGATGGGGGTGGTGGAAAGCCTTGTTCAGGTGATGGGAAAATAGAGCCAGGACCTCTCCCGGCACAGGGGGTATACTTAGGGTGCAGGAGGGAGGGATATGCTCATTAAAACAATGGCTGGTGTGTTTGGCACAAAAGGAAAGGGCTCTGGGGAAAGGGTTAACCTCATTTACATGGATATTAAGGGGGAGGGTGTCCCTTTGGGAGTTTGCAAAGCTGTACACTTTAAGAGAAGAGAGTTACATGTGGCAGCGGTGTACAGATATTGAGGCCCTCACATCTGCCGTGGTCTCCACCCTTGTCCTGAAAGGTTCAGGTTTTCCCCTGCCCAACAGGCCTGCACCCCCCACCCAGCCCCATATTCTCACTGATGGCATTTTTGTTGGAAACGGATTATGAGCCTAAGCACTTTCGCCTGGGATCATCTCTTGTGCATAACGCTAATGACTCCTATGCCACACTTTTATTTTCATTTTTTTCCCTTCCCACTTTCCGTTTACAGGGGAGATAGCGAGAAAGGAAAACTTCAGCTGGCTCGTTCCAAGATCTGGGTAGGAAAGGTGAGCCCCCACTTCAGGCCCCGTGCAGGCCAAGAGCTTTGGGCTCACTTGTCCCGTGGCCCCGGATGTTTGTGAGTGTGAGGAGGTGTGTATAGCTTCACTTCCGTGGTTTCATACAACCTGGTTGCTGAGCGTTGAAGTGGCCAAGGCAGCAAAGCCCACCCGTGTCCCGAGGCCAGACCATGCTACCAAGGCCACTCCGATACTGGCAAGAAAGGTGACCTTGTACTGGCCCGTGCACAGCCCTCTGGAAGTACCTATTTTTCAAATTGGAAGTGGTCTGGTTATTATTCCTTCCAGTGCCATCTCTGGACACAGTGGGGCTGTTTTCCTAGGATGGAAGTCTGTCAGCAATCTTAATGATGGTGAAGATGCTGTGACATTTGCTACCCTGCTCCAGGATCCCTGAAACTGCTTCCCCCCGTCTTTGCTGCTGCTTTTTCTCTCGGCTGCTAGCAGTCCAGGAAACGAGAAGAAATAAAATTCTATCCCAAAGTTAATGCTAGGCATATTTCATTTGGTTATAAGATTGCTTTATGGTGAACATTACTAATGCAGTATTTTTTTATGGCTTTTCTGTGTATAGTCGTCGTAACCGGATTCATACCTTTATGATTTTCTTTTTCTGCTTTACTTTGCCACTTTTTAAAATGATGCTCTGGGCCCAGTCTCTTGTGATATATATATATATTTTTTCCTTCAAAGAGTGTTAATCAAGCTAACAAGAGTTGGTGCTCAGTCTGAATGCACATCTGTTTCTTGGGAGGAAAGAGGTTGGCTGGAGGGATCACACTGCACAAACTTGGGTGGAAAAGGCAAATTCTGCTTGGGGCACAAGCCTTTAGGGAGGAAAACTGATGGGTCCTCAAACGAGATAAGCTGGACTTTTTGTAAGGAGTTTTGGAGAAACTTCTAGGAAGGCTCAATTTCTTGGCGTACGGGAGATGGGACTTGATGGAATGTTTTTCTCAGCTCAAAGTTTAGAAAAGAGCGTGGATGTGATTAAAATATTATAACCTTATGATATTCTGAAGTGCATAAATTTTACATATCAGCCACAGAGAGTTTAGACATCCATTAGAGCCTCTGACAGCTTGACTTATCTAAATGTGCTATCATTTAACAATGTGTCAAAATTCCTCTTTCTTTAGATGACAGCAGTAAATAAGCTATCAGCTCTGTTGGCGGAATCCTAACTTTGGAAACTTCGCTGTAATAGAATTGCTGCTGGGGTGGGGAGCATGAGCAGGCCAGGCTTGGTGCGGCCCAGGCCCAGGCCCATGAGCTGGACTGGCATTAGGGCGAAGGCTGTGGGAGGTGGGAGCGGGAGGAGAGGGAGCTGCGGGAGACAGAAGGGATGAGGGGAGATTTCTAGCAGCAGCTCTATGAATACGACCAAACCATTGACCAGCCCCCTGGACCCTTCCAAGTCCAGCCAGTGGGTGACCCCATTCCATCTGCCTCTCCAGTTCATTGCAAGCCACACCCTGTGAGCCTATTTTGCAGAAGGAGCTAGAAACAGGTGTTGAGAATTTATATAAAGAACCCAGCAGTCTTTTCTGGGCATCCCAAAATTCTGAATTTCTCAACTCGACAGAAATTGCTTCCCAAAGATGGGCCTCTCTTTGAATGCTGGAAGAAAAATGAGCAACGTCTCATCCTTGACCGCTTTTGCTGTTGGAGGTCTCGAAGTTTCTTTTATTAATACCTGAATTCGCTGTAGAAAATTGAGAAACCACGGACAAGCCTAAAGAAGCAAATAAGCGTCTCGGTGGGTTATTTCAGATGAGCACGGTGCTATTTTGACCAGAGGGAACAGCTTTTCTGATGGTGGTGGTGCTTTTTTTTCTTTCCTTTTTCTTTATTTCTTTCTTCTTTTTTTAAACTCTTCTGTTAAAGGGAGGATTCTGTCTTCGAACTTGACATTCTGTTGTGGTAACCTTTCTTCCGTCAGATAGAATTTCAAACGTGAGCACCCCAGCTGGTGCTAAATTTGATCCTGGATGATGGTGGAGGTGGCTGTACAAAAACTATGGTTTTCTCTGTTGCTTTCTGAAAGGGCTGAATTTCTGGTGGCATCCTGTTATCTAACTCAGACTGAGCCTGGCAGAGGTTGAGTGTGGGAAGGGGACTGAGGTAGTGGCCTGCCTTTGTTTCTGGCTTAGGAAATCAGAGTTCGGTCTTCTGTTTGATTTTTCTGTCTGGGGGAATGCTCTTTCTTAATGACAGTGGTTTATATCAAAGGTGCCAGGGAAGGTGGAAGTAGTAGGCAGAGGGGAAGGCCCCATCAGCAGCTAAGAAGTACAGTCTCTAGCACTCCTGGGTGAATCCCCTAACATTCCAAGTCTCCCATTTCTTAATCCATCACATAGACTGGTTGTGCTCATCTGGTTTGCTCCAGTTGCTGTGAAGGGAAGGATGCTGACATACTTTGTGTGCTAGTTAAATGTATTGCCTTTTCATGACCTCGGGGCCCATTTTGGCAGTGATGAGGAGCCATTGGCCTCTTAAGCAGAATTTTGAGACAAAAAAAATCATGTCTGGAATGGAGTTCTTGGTTTCTAAGCCTTGAGGATCCCTTCAGAAAATGGTTTGTAGAGTTTTGTAGGATATGAACAATCAATTCCTATCATACTTAATTTAAAAATCCCGAGTCCTCTCCCCTGATTGTAAGACTCCGGGTAGGCGAGCCCTCCACCTCCCCGCCGTCATCCTTCTGACTTCATCTCCAGCGTCTCTCCTGTACTTGCTCTGTTCTAGTCACAGTGGTCTTTTGGTCCCTCAGACTCGTCAAGCACATTCTTACCTCAGAGACTTTGCGCTTNCGTCATCCTTCTGACTTCATCTGCAGCGTCTCTCCTGTACTTGCTCTGTTCTAGTCACAGTGGTCTTTTGGTCCCTCAGACTCGTCAAGCACATTCTTACCTCAGAGACTTTGCGCTTGCAGTTCCCTCTGCCTGGGCCTCTTTTTCTCCCGGTCTTCCCGTAGCTGGCTCCTTTTCAGTTGGTCTCACCTCAAACACCTGAAGACGCTTCCACTACCCTTGAGTGTGCAAATATGCTTCCTCCTCTTTAAGGCTGGTATTTTTCGACCTCATGACTTTCTCAGGGGTGGCTTCTCTGTAGACTCTTTAGAGACCCATCTAGGTCTGCCATCAAGGTTGGCGAACTGTTCTGTAAAGAGGCAGATATGTTGCAAGCACTCAGTTTTGCCACTGTGGCATGAAAATAACCATAGACAATAAAAATGAATGGGAATGGTTGTATTCCAGTAAAACTTTACAAAAACAGGTGAAGGGCTGGATTTGGCCTGAAGGCCATGCTGAGTCTGGTCTACAGGTCTATAATGATGGCTGTAGCATGGCTGAAGTGTTTTACTTTCCACTTAAGAGTGTTAAGGTAGATCACATGTAGTTCCAGAAACTTGTTCTCTACCCTTTCCCTCAAGTGGGAAGTAGGAGGAGCCAAGATGGTGAGGTGCCCCTGTCTAGCTTCCAGTCCTGGCTCTATCACCTATTGGTTATGTGATTTTTGGATGGGTCACTTAACCTCTCTCAGCCTTATTTCCTTGTCTCTAAATGGAACTAATAGTAATCTCCACCTTTTAGATTGTTCTTAAAGATTACAGCACTTTAAATGTGAAAATGCTTAGCACAGTTTGGGGCACACAGTTACTGTTCCATAAGTGTTTTACTTCTTGTTGTTGGTATTTTTAGAGAGTAAGAGAGGAGTGAGAAAACCAAATGAGCAGTGGATCCTGGAATTTGCTGGCCTTGCAAGCTTGTTTTAGAGATTACTGGGCACTTTTTCTCTTCTCTTTTACTCCATTGGGGGCTTACTGTATTAATATATTACTAATATTATGTGTGATGTCTTATATCTTGGGAGCTCAGACTACAGAGGTGGCAGGCTGGGAGCTTTGTCTGGACCACGGATGTATCTGTCCAGATTAGTGCAATATTTAAAAACACTTTTTTTTTAAAAAATAAGCTTCTCAGCATTTAAAACACAGAAGATGTTACCTAAGAAATTCAGATATCCAGTGTCCTGTACAAATCCAACGCCCTGGCCGCACTCGGCAGGGAATGGAGACCTAGCAAGGGCACGACATGCAGAGTGAACATGGTGCAGAGACCCTGGGCTGAGGGTCTGCAGCGGGTCAGACCAGCTCCAGGGGTCATGAGGAGGGTAGCTGTCAAGGCCACTGGCTGCCATTCTCCAAGTGCCAAATGTCAGACGAGGCAGCATTTTCAGAAAAACCGAGAGGCCCTGACCAGCTTCATGAAGATACGTGATTAGCCTGCCGTCTCTGCTTTTCCTCAGTCACCCTCAAAGTGGGCTGGCGGCTGCCCCCTCCTTCCTAGTCCTTGCCCTCTGCACCCCCTCTGCCATCCTTCAGCCGAATGAAACAGCAGTTCCAAGATACGCATTTGTCATTAAAAAGAAAGAAAGAGAAAAAAAATCAATCGTCCAACCTCTTTGGCCTGAGCTGGTTGTCTGCCCCAGACGCCGGGAGCCGAGCAGCGCTTAAGACTCTGAGCCGCCGTCGCTCAAACTCGACGGGGTAAGTGGCTCCCCGGGAACCATTATGGTCGATTGACTTGTCCAGTCAGCTGTTTGGAGTGTGGGTGCTGTAGACGGAGAGACCACAGGGGTCACCAGGACAGCCGGGTCGAGTGCAGATTTCCTCAAGTGAGGCAGTCACTCAGAGGTACTCAGAGGCTGGGGGCACCTGTTTGCGGTGTTGGTCCACTGTGAGTGTCCATGGGCTCCAGGGGTCTGAGGTGTGTGGTGTGGGCTGCAAAATCAAGCCCTGCAGTCTCCCGCTCCCAAAGGTATTTAGTGAGGACTTGGAGCCACGGGGCCTGGCTCTAGCCCAGCTCTGCCACTTACCAGCTGTGTGACCTTGGGCAAATCACTTAACCTTTTTGAGCCTCGGTTTTCTCTCTTGTGTAAAATAGGGCTAATAGTAGTATCTGCCTCTTTAAGGATTGTGGATTAAGTGAGTTAGTGCATGTAAAGTGTGAAATCTGTTCCCAGCACATAGATGTGCTATATAATGTTAACAGTAGTAACTGCTATTGTCCTTCACTTTGAAAATGTATTGGTTTAGCCAAAAAATTCATTCAGGATTTTCCGTAAGATGGTACGGAAAAACCTGAGCAAACTTTTTGGCCAACCCCAAATGTTCACCACTCACAGTATAACTACAAATTGTGTAAATTATAATAAGTAAATATCATGAATACTATAAATGATAATAATATACTGGCAATATCATGGTGAACTGGAAGACAAAGTGCCAGTCTTCACTTAGCTCACAGACAATGGAGCAGGGTGGGTGCATATCTTATTGGACAAATGGGAGTGTAGTCACACATGGACATTTGATTCTGAGATAGCATGTGGCAAAAAAACTACCTGAGTCTGAGCATCAAGGGAGCCTTCCTGGAAGAAGTGACCCTTTAGCCAAGGTGTCAAGAACAAGGTCAGGGAAAAGCATCCCTGGGAATAGCGTGTGCTAATACCTTGAGGTGGGTGGAAAAATAGTGCGTGCAAGAAACTGGAGGAAGGCAATGAAGCTGGTCGCAGATTCTGAGTGGCTATTGTGGTGATTTAGTCGCTAAGTCATGTCCACCTCTTGCAAACCCCATGGACTGTAGCCCACCAGGCTCCTCTGTCCATGGGATTTCCCAGGCAAGAATACTGGAGTGGGTTGCCATTTCCTTCTCTAGAGGATCTTCCCGACCCAGGGATTGAACCCAGGTCTCCTGCATTGCAGGCAATTTCTTTACCAACTGAGCCAGCAGGGAAGCCTTGTTGGACCCGCCTTTATCCTCACTCTTGGCATCTGTCAGTTGGGAGTAAAGATGAAGTATAAGATAAGATTTTTTAGCACATGTGTGGCCTGGAGTGAATCTACCTCAATGAGTACTTTGTAAACTGTCAAACACCATATCAGCCTTTGTTGTTGTTTAGTCGCCAAGTCCTGTCTGTCTCATTGTGACCCCATGGACTACAGCACTCCAGTCTCCTCTGTCCTCCACTATCTCCCAGAGTTTGCTCAATTCCTGTCTGTTGAGTCGGCGATGCTATCTAACCATCTCTTCCTCTGCCACCCCCTTCTCCTTTTGCTTTCAGCATTTCCCAGCATCATAGTCTTTTCCAGTGTGTTGGCTCTTTTCACCAAGTGGCCTAAGTATTGGAGCTTCAGCTTCAGCAACAATCCTTCCATTGAATATTCAGGGTTGATTTCCTTTCAGATTGACTGGTTTGATCTTCTTGCAGTCCAGGGGACTCTCATGAGTCTTCTCCAGCACCACAACTTGAAAGCATCAATTCTTCCATGCTCAGCCTTCTTTATGATTCACCTCTCACATCGTACATGACTACTGGAAAAACCATGGCTTTGACTATATGGACCTTTGTTGGCAAACTGATATCTCTGCTTTTTAATACACTGTCTAGGTTTCTCATAGCTTTCCTTCCAATCCTTAAGTATTGCTTTTATTTTTTTAACAAGGTATTCAGCCCAATTCTTGCTCTGTTGCAAAATACGCCCAGTTCCCCAACTCCTGTCTATCTTGGGGTCATGGCACGGGGCCATCAGGATTCAAATCCCAGTTCCGCTTCATCCTAGCTGTGTCCCTTGGGTAAGTTAGTTCCTGTTTCTAAGATTTGGTTTTCTCAGCAGTCAGGTGGATATAATAATGGTAGCTCCCAGTGGTGGCCCTGAGAAAGCACCTTGCAGATCTTAGTCTACAGGGAGTGTGATGGGCAGGTGGCACCAGATCCTGCCCTTGAAGATCACCCACAACTGCCACAGCCTGGGGCTGAGCGTAACAGGGACTAAGAGCGGACTGGCTCCCGGGACACATGGACTCCTCTGCAGGCTAGGGTGCTTCCACTAACCAGCCAGCCTTACTTCCCAACGCTCCTTCTCTCACTCAGGCCCTCCCTCCCTCGCTCTCTCTATTCTGGCTCCCTCCTGCAGGGTGCAGGTATTGATCCTGATAAATCTCTTTGTCTTGTAATCCTGCCTTTGTATCTTCTTCTCAAAGGACCTGGCTCTCCTACAGGAAAGATGAAATGAGGTTTGGACATCTACCTAAGGCACCTAGAGCATAGGAAGTGCCAGGTGAGGTATCTTTTATGTCTTGTCGGGAGCCTGGGTGGTGTCACTCTCGGCGTTGCCTCTTTCTGGTTGCCTGTTCTTACCTGGGCCCACTGTGTGATTAGGCCCTCCATTCCCTTTTGTATCCCTTCATTATGTTTTGCTCTCATTTCCTGACACTTCTCCCCTTTTTATTCAAGCACTCTGGCCTCCTCACTCTTCCTTGAACACACCAAACATATTCCAACCTCAGGGCCTTTGTACTTGCTGTTCCTGTTGCATTTCCCAGACATCTCCCTAGTTTTGTCTCAGTCTATTCAGTCCTCTGTTTAAATATTACATCGTCAGAGAGGTCCTCCCTAAGCTTCCAAAATGCCACCCCGCCCCCAGATAGCAGATAGTTTACTGCTATCTGCTTTATCTGATGTGATAATATGTATTTATTTGTTCATTTGTTTACCATCTGTATTCCTTCCTGGGCTTCCCTGATAGCTCAGATGGTAAAGAATCTGCCTGCAATTTAGGAGACCAGGGTTCAGTCCCTGGGTGGGAAGATCCCCTGGAGAAGGGAATGACTACCGACTCCAGTATTCTTGCCTGGAGAATTCCATGGACAGAGGAGCCTGGTGGGCTGCAGTTTATGAGGTCGCATAGAATTGGACATGACTGAGCGACTAGCACACACATCTTCCTCCCTGAGGAGGGCAAAGACATAGTAAGTCCTTAATAAATGTTTGGATGATGGAGCACAGGAAGAGTGAGGTGGGAGTAGCTGCCTTGACTGTACCTTGGGAGGCAGTCCTGGGGGACCAGCTCCTCCAGACCCCCAGCTTCTTCACCCATCACTGGCTCTTGAAATTCTCTCACTGTGATTGGGAATTGGGCACAGGCCTCAGACTCGCAGCGAACAAGGGTTTATCTTTAGCTCTGTGAGTCTTGCTTTAGAAACTGGTGACCCCAATTCTGGCATGGGAAGTAGCTCCCATCCTAATTAATAAATCCATTAATTAATTGCTGGGGCAGGCTGTGAACCGTTAGCAGTGATTTGGTGGCCTCAGTTACAGACAGCTCAAAGCAGGTTCCTGCAATCTGTGAGATGGCTGATGTGGGGGACACAAGATAGCCAGTTAACATGTTTTGGGATCCAGGTGACAGACAGTCTTCTCCCAAAGCCTGGCTCATGGGTCCATGTGATCAGCCCAGCAGGCATCAAAGAGGGATCAAGGTCTCTGGACAGCATCACTAGAGTTGGGGGGATTTCCTGCTCAGCATCCCCTGGGACTTCTAGTTTATAATCAGGCAGGAGGTCAGGATTGGAACCTGCCCTTCCCTTTTATGGCTAAGATACCCTGTCCAGGCCTCAGTTTTCCTGTCTAACATAGAGCTTCCCGGGGTTGTTGAGACAGATTATTCATTCATTCACTTAATGAACATTATTCAGCACCTGCTATGTGTCACGTGCAATGTAAAGTGCTGGGAGTGCAGCAGTAAACAAAATGGACCAAGTTCTTGCCCTCAAAAAGCTTTTCTTTTATAATCGCTTGGAGATAGAAGTACTTTCTCCAAGGCTGTGAGAGGTAAAAACTGCCAAACCAATACAGACACAGCCTAGGACTGGGCATGCTGTAAGCCTTCCCAAAATGGTGACTGTTGTTAATCATGGTCTTGATTAACAGCAGTAATAATAACGATGATGATGATGATTCTGTGAGGTAATTTCCTGTTGAATTTCAGTTACCCTGGGAGCAGTACCTGAAATGATTTGAGCATGGGCTTTGGACCCTGGCCTTGCTCTTTCCTAACTGGGATGCCTTGGGTGATTCACTGGATTTTTCAAAGTGTCAGTTTCCTTATCTATAAAATGGGAATTAAATACAGCCTTTACCTCAAAGAGACCTTATGGGGGTGTTGATGCAGTGACTGGGAGCTGACTGTGGCTCAGATCATGAACTCCTTATTGCCAAATTCAGACTTAAATTGAAGAAAGTAAGGAAAACCACTAGACCATTCAGGTATGACCTAAATCAAATCCCTTAGAATTATACACTGGAAGTGAGAAATAGATTCAGGGGATTCGATCTGATAGACAGAGTGCCTGAAGAACTGTGGGTGGGGGCTCATGACATTGTACAGGAGGCAGAGATCAAGACCATCCCCAAGAAGAAGAAACGCAAAAAGGTGAAATGGTTGTCTGAGGTGGCCTTACAAATAGCTGTGAAAAGAAGAGAAGTGAAAGGCAAAGGAGAAAAGGAAAGATATACCCATGTGAATGCAGAGTTCCAAAGAATAACAAGGAGAGATAAGAAAGCCTTCCTCAGTGATCAGTGCAAGGAAATAGAGGCAAACAATAGAATGGGAAAGACTAGAGATCTCTTTAAGAAAATTAGAGGTACCAAGGGAACATTTCATGCAAAAATGGGCTCAATAAAGAACAGAAATGGTATGGACCTATGAACCTATGGAAGCAGAAGATATTAAGAAGAGGTGGTAAGAATACACAGAAAAACTATACAAAAA